TCACGCCTTCCCTGTAGCACCACTTATACAGAGCCGTGCTATCCTAGTCATCGATGTGAGACATCACAATCACAATCAATATCTCAATCATATAACATCTCATCCTATTATTCAAATTTATAACACGTATATAATTTCATACAACAAATAAACTTAACAAAGTAGAGTTTACATATCCCTCAAGCATATTACATCCATATCATTCATTTAATAATCAATAATACAGCAATTCCCTTCATTAATAGAATAACAGTAAAATCCCTAATTATTCCAAATTATAAGTTAATAGGAGGCTCAGCCTTCCATTCAGATAAATTCAACATTATAAACTATTAGGAGGCTTGGCCGTCCATTCACATAAATTCCAAATTATAAATTAATAGGAGGCTTGGCCGTCCATTCACATAAATCAAACGTTATTCTAAGAAATTCTACCCAATACCCTCATGTATTCTACATATAAATAATCCTCTTTTCCCCCGTACCTGATTAAATAGAAATTTTAGTAGAACCTCCTCTTCTTTCTATTAAACCAGGACCGGAACTAAAGCAGAACCTCCCCTCTTTCTTTCTCTCTTTCTCTCTCTCCTTTCTCTCTTCCAGAATTTCCTTATCTCAAGTTATGAATTTCTTTCAGCCCCTAGCCCCTATTTATAGAAATTCTGAAATTACTATGCACTATGCACTATTAAAATAATTATAATATATATTTATATTTTTAAAAATGATATATAAATTTTTTAATATTATAAATATACGAATAAGTGTTGTTTTCATTATCTAAAATTTTAATTCCATCATTGTTGTCACGTGACTTTAATTAATATATTGCCATAATTTTATTAAATGAGTCGGTAATAGAGAACGCAAATTCACAATCATTTATTATTCTGTAAGTGACAAGGAGAACGAGAGACACTGGAAAGAGCCACATGAAATTCACAGTTCAACCATGTTCAAAAAGACAAGGCAGCAGCCAGTACCAATTTTACATACCACATCTAACATTGTCACAAAACAGAGCATGGACTGAAAAATGACGGATATACAACAACTGAATATAAATTATCCGTCAAATTGGCTAGGACATGCGATCAACTAAGAATGTGATTAGAACTTTAATACGAGCCGCATACATCTCAGATCACTATCAATATCTTCCCTGCAGAAAACAACAAAATCAAGTCACTTTTTTGCATTAATTGAGACAAAATTGATAATTTCCTCAATAGCAAAAATTAAACAGATATAGGCTCAGCAATTACAGTTTCACACTAATTTAAAATATTGAACTAAATATATAAAACATTTATTTCTATTATGACTAATCTGGTCCAGAAATAGAAACTTGAATATTTCTCCAGACTCTAGCATACCTCCCCAGTAAAGTTGCCCTGGCCAGAAGGTGGATATCTTTGTTGAGATCCTGTCTGCTCTTTGGCAGTATGATTCCCCTGCTCAGCCTGTTCAAATTCCTTCATGTATGATGGTTTGAAATCCTCCATATAAGGTGGGGTAAAAGTATCACCCCTCCCCTCTGAAGCACCATACCTTGGCACAGGATTTATTCTATCTCCTTGTCCGGGTTGTCCAAAGTTCTGCTGTGGCATATAATTTCTTCTATCTCCGTGTCCTGGTGGTCCAAAGCTTTGCTGCTGTGCATATGGTGGTGAAGCAGGACCATACTTCTGATGTTGTGGATAATTCTGTGATGCTTGATCAAAGTTCTGTTGGGGTGGATAATTTTGCGATGCCTGACCATAATTCTGTTGGGGTGGGTAATTTTGTGATGCTTGGCCATAGTTCTGTTGGGGTGGGTAATTCCGTGATGCTTGGCCAAAATTCTGTTGGGGTGGATAATTTGGTGATGCCTGGCCATAGTTCTGTTGGGGTGGATTATTTGGTGATGCTTGGCCATAGTTCTGTTGGGGTGGATTATTTGGTGATGCTTGGCCATAGTTCTGTTGGGGTGGATAATGCTGCGATGCTTGGCCATATTTTTGTTGGGGTGGATAATTCTGCGGTGCTTGGCCATAGTTTTGTTGGGGTGGATAATTTTGTGAAGGTCCATAGTTCCTTCCATCCCCTGGCATGGACCCCTGACTACTGTAAGAGGGATTCCCTTGAGGGTTTGGCATCTGATTGTCTTGCCGGTTATATTGGCCAGGAGGACTCCAATTCCTGTCTCGTCTTCCTTGGTTTCTCCCATACTGTACTGGCGGAGGTCGAGGGATGATTGTTCCATTAATGTACTGATCTCCTATTTATCACACACGAAAACTTTCTTTCAGAACTATTCTTGCAATCAAAAGGGTAGCAAACAATCAAAATGCTCATCATCTTGAAATTGAACTAGTAATGAATAACCCAATCAATTCATTATAACATGACCAAACCTTACCTCCATACTGCTTGTTCACCGGATCAATATATGAATCTGGCAGCACAAAGATGACTCCAGGAAGACCTGTTAATACACAGCAAATCAAACATCAAAATCAAATTCTATTCTCCGGACTGGGTTATGGAATTTGAAATTTGAAAGTAGAAATAAACACCTTCAAATTTTTTGGACTCTTCTTCAGTCATAACTGCCTGAAAGCCAGTGTAGGTAGTTGTGCTGCACGCATACATTTTCTTCTTCGCCTCTTCCACACTAATAATACCACACATTCAAAGAAAAGCCCACAACTAAGAATTAAGAAACAACATTGAATAAACCATTAATTTGGTCGCTGAAGTATCACTCTCTCTCCTAAGTCCTAAGTAGTCCCTAAAGTAATAGAAATCATGCTACATAGAGCCTGTTTGGATATAAACTGTTAACGTTTTTCAAAACTTTTTTTTTTATTGAAAATAGAGTATTTTTCAGTAAAGGAACTCTAAAACGCACTTTTAAACTTGTATTCAAATATTCCAAACAGGCTGATAGTCCCTCAAGAATTGAAAAATTCCTCAAATTAGTCCCTCAATATATCAACCCAGGGACTAAAAATAGATGGTTCATTCAAACGAAGTCTCTGACACTCGCTTGAGAACACTATAGAATATTAGCTAAAATTTATTGAAAATCATAATAATTTGTTGGTTACTCTTCTTATTTAATGAGTTTCATTTGTAGTTATATAGTTTTCAATAAATTTTAACAAATAAAAAAAAATGTTAGACAATGTAATCCATCAATAATTTTTCACAAACTAATATGCTAGTGTAAATGAGGATTAGAGCTTATAATCAGAAACCTTGTCTCACGTAGAGTTAAATAGAAAGAAGAGAGAAATTAAGAAATGAACCTGATGTTGAGACCCTTAGCACAAGTCTCCTCGTAAACGCGAACCATTTCTTCGGGAGAGGGTTTGTTGTCTTTGGGGAAGTCCATGACGAAGAGCCAGTGGTTGTAGTCGCAGCCTTCGAAGAGAATCGTGTCGGGACCAATCTCGTCGGGGATGTTTCCCTGTGAGGATCGAACAGAGAGAAGCGAAATTGAGGATGACCTCAGCGAACGGGACTGAACCACCATGTTCGGTGAGTGGAAACTTGATGAAACGGAGCATCGGATTGGGGCGGAAAACGAGGCCGCGTGCGTTGCGGATAACGAGTTGGCCACGCCGGAGAGTGATCGGAGGGTGCGGCGGAGGCGAATCAACGACGACGCCATGAGAGAGTGTAGGGTTTTGGGAGATTAGGGTTTTAGGGTTTTTTCTTCTTTTCCTTGAGAGCGAATATTAGTTACTAATATTTTGGGAACGGAAATGGATGCTTGCGCATTGCTACAAGCTGTTATATTATACAAAAGTGATTGCACCAAGGGAAATATAAAAGGCTTTTTTTTTTTTTTTTTTTTTTTGAGTTTCTCGCACTTTATTTTTTTAATTTATATCTAATTCTAATGCAATACTATACATCTGCTGTATTCGATTAATGAAAAATACATTTTTTAAATTTAAAATTCTATTTTAAAAACATCTGGGAACTATTTTATAGATTTTTTTTACCTGATTAAAACTTTTTTGTTTCAAGATTTTACAAGAGGAAAAAAAATTGAATAAAATGCATTGCAAAAACATTAAATACACGCATTTATAATTCATAATTCATGTATTGTAATTTGTAACTCAGCTAATTTAAAGAGACAAAAAGAAAATTCTATTTTTAATCTTTAACCCATCCAGGTCATCGTAATAAGAAAGAAAAATCATTAACTTATTAAGATGATAAATTATTGCATAAACCTATAGTTAATCAATGATTAATAATGTGTTAAAAAGTAAAATCAATAAAATTATTTCATAAATTAATTTGTTTTTAGACATCCATTTATTTTGTACTTCATCTCTTTTTTCATTTTCATTTTTATTTTTATTGATTCAATCATCCTTGTGAAATTTTCTGTACCAACTAATATTTTTGACTTATTACCTCTCTATTAAGTTAATTCTCTAAATATTATCAAAATTTTGGAAGAGTTTCAATGAGTTTTCAGATGAAAAATCATGGTTGCTACTTGCCAGTTGTGATTGCCAATATGAAATTGTAACTTCAGAATATATTTTAATATCTAGAAATAAGGTCATAAAAACAAAATAAAGATAAATTAAAATGAAATGAAATAATTATAAAAATGTTTAAATATTTTATATAAAAAAATAAAATTTATATTTCTATTGTTCAGAAAGCATAATAAATGGTTAAAAAAAAACTTTGTTGACATAGTTTACTCAAATTTTTACATGTGGCTACCACAATGTGTGAAGTTATATAGTTGTGAAATGTGTCAAGTGATTTTCTAAATTATGTACCAAAAGAAACTAATATTTCGAGGCTCACATCCATGAGAAACTACAAAATTTTCTTGTAGGAAATGTCTCTAATCATCTGATTGAAAAGGTGATATAGTAAGGAATAAAGGAAAAAAGAGAGAGAGATTATTAAGGAATTAAAAAAAAATATGTTTAGAGAAAATGATTTAAGTAAATTTGTAAGAAAATTATGGTGGAATCCATGTGAATTTAATTTCACTTTCTTAAGTGAATTTCTGTGAAATTTTTCACAAAATAAAAATAAAAATACATGAATAAAACTATCCTACACTATTATTTGATCAGTTAGTTAATAAAAAATAATAAAAAAATAATTGTTTAAATAATATATTTTTACATAAAAATCTACCTCTACAAAATACATTTTTAAAATATCAAATTTTTTTCCATTTCTCACCTAATTTCACTATTCTAAACAACTACAAATTTCACATTATTTTTAATCAAATCAATTCTCAACTATTCACTTCCATTTACCTAAATTATTTTTCCTCTCCCAAACAAATCATAAGAGATATATCATGCTACTCTTAACAGATTTATGTCAATTATTGTCTCGAAGGAATATTTTAATCATTAAAGTATCTTTTTCAGTTTCCTTTTGTTGTGTTGTTTTTGGCTGAACTCACTTTTCCTTTGGTTTGCTATAAACTGATATTGATTTAATGGTAACAGCATCCACATCCAAAGAACATAGCATACCGGTTTTGATTTGGGACCCTTGCAACTTAAAAATTGTTAACAACCTTCCCTGGGAGAGTGGGAAAACCCTCCATGTGCATTTTTTGGATTTGGAGCGAGAGAGAAGCATGAGAGTGGAAAGTGTGTGAGACAAGAATAACAATTAAAAATAACATTAAACAATGAATTTGTTGTGTTGAAAGGTGAGCGAGGTTTCCACTGTCCACATGCACCTTCTTCACCTAATAATAATAAACATAAACTCAGATACTTCTCTTTTGCATAATACTATTGCACTTCCCCATTTCCTGGATCCCATCTTGCTTGCATTTATGATTTATGTGGAAGTGGAATCAAAACATTATTGTACTTTTCCCATGAAATAAGCCTTCAACTTGTTGCACCACACACGACCTTGTTGGTTTGATCATTGATGTGAGCATTAGCAATGGCAGAGGTGCTGCAGCGAGGTCGCTCTCTGGCTGAGACACCAACGTATTCAGTTGCCTCTGTTGTTACTGTCATGGTCTTTGTCTGCTTCTTGGTTGAGCGTTCAATCTACCGCTTTGGAGAGGTAAACACTAAATATCCATGTCATCATGCGTATGCATGTAGAGTTAACAAATCACCTTTATCACTGATTCCTAGTTGCTTGGTTTCTAGTTTTCTACTGGCCATGATAGTATCACAGTTGTTTCTGTTTTTTACTTTGACTAAATTACATGGTCAATCTCAGGTTCCGTGAGATTGCACACGCATCTTTAATTTTTTCAACGTTTACTGTAACCCCCCTTCTAGGGTAATAGGATAATGTTTTTCAAATAATTAAGGGATTAATGTAATGTCTAAAGGGTTAGTGTAAGGTCTATCTTAGGACATGGAAGGTCGATTTAGTATTCACAACATTGATTTACATCACTGTTAGAATAATGTTTGACCAACAATAATCACATCTCACGAATGCTAATTAATTCTTAGCTATCAATTTTAAAACACTACATGGACCATATTCTTAGAACAAAAAGAAAGGGTTAGCGTGAGATAAACAAAGTAGTAGAAGTGTGTGCAATTTCATGAAACCTCAAAGAGTGTCTATGCAATTTACTCTTTTAGTTTATGATTTCAACCGTAGAGTGCATCACTAAGAGAAAAAAAAAAAAAAAAAAAAAAAAAAAGGGA